ATGAAATCCACGCAAGTCTTTGTACATGAGGCCCCTGGTGAGGAGGACAAGTGTGTCTTGCCTACAGTCAAACATGGTGGTGGGAGTGTCATGGTCTGGGGCTGCATGAGTGCTGCCGGCACTGGGGAGCTACAGTTCATTGAGGGAACCATGAATGCCAACATGTACTGTGACATCCTGAAGCAGAGCATGATCCCCTCCCTTTGGAAACTGGGCCGCAGGGGAGTATTCCAACATGACAACGACCCCAAACACACCTCCAAGACAACCACTGCCTTGATAAAGAAGCTGAGGATGAACGTGATGGACTGGCCAAGCATGTCTCCAGACCTCAACCCTATTGCGCATCTGTGGGGCATCTTCAAACAGAAGGTAGAGGAATACAAGGTCTCTAACGTCCACCAGCTCTGTGATGTCGTCATGGAGGAGTGGAAGAGGATTCCAGTGGCAACCTGTGAAGCTCTGGTGAACTCCATGCCCAAGAGGGTTAAGGCAGTGCTGGAAAATAATGGTGGACATACCACGTATCGACATTTTGGGCCCAATTTGGACATTTTCACTTAGGGGTGTACTCACTTTTGTTGCCAGCGGATTAGACATTGATGGCTGTGTACTGAGTTCTTTTGAGGGGACAGTAAATTTACACTGTTATACAAGCTGAACACTGACTACTTCACATGCATATTGCAAAATTGCACTCATCTTGTATAACAGATTTAACATGTAGACAAATCATCTAGTCCTAAACAGTTAACCTGAAGCCCATTGTTGTCATTGGTAGGCAACAAGGCAACTACTTTTACTCAGTAAAACTAATGTAAACTGGCAGTTATAATACTCACGGTCCTCCGGTGTTTTCTCGGTAGCATTGGTACTCCAGTTGCTCCAATAACCGTGACCCTTTCGAGAATTTTTGCAGCATACCTGAATGACATATTCTGTGTCTGGTCGAAGGTTCTGAAGTCTGAAGGACTCTATATACTTGTCAGTGTCTGCAAGCGGAACCTAAAGAACATAAACCAAACATTTCTTTTTGATTTTGTCAACTAATAATAAAAAAAGACAAGTTAGAAACACAACATAACTGAGAAAGTATTGTAAAACACACAGATTAAAGATATAATAGTTATGGATGTAATTCTAGTTCCATGAGAATGTGCATAGCCCTTTAACAGGTTTTGCAATTAAATAACCCCATCGAGGTTGTGGTTCAGCACCCAAAGGCAGAACTTTTAATTGACCCAGTCAGGGCTTAGTGATTACACACTTTGGTCCCCCATAAGAATGCATGAAGTGCTCATATCCCTTCGGAACTAAGCAACATACCTGAATGAACAAAGTATGCACTTTATAACAAGATAAAGCAAGATAAAACCAAAAAACACTGTCGACAAATCTAGTCAACAGTTTGGGTCGCTAAGAGGGCTCATAGCGCTACAGATTAAACTGCAGATCCAAAGAGTAATCTGCCTATTTGACAATGGCGCCCACTGGGCCCATGAGCCATCGTAGACAAGCAACTTGTCAAAATGTCACCCAGTGCAAATGCGTGGTGTTTTTTGTTTGTTTGTTTGTTTTTTTATCTGTGTGAAAAGCTCTTCTCCACCATGAACTTTAATCAGTTCAAAGTACAGGTCCAAACTTACTTGAGCATCTTCAAGCCATACTGAGGGTCTCATTTGTTTTCTCCCTCAAGCCAAATGTGGCTCAGCTGTGTAAGAGGAAGCGCTGCCAGGTCTCTGGCAGCAAGGAGTAGGTAAGAGGAGCCTATGTTCTGAAGAATGTTCATGTTCTGAATTGTTATTAATAAAGATTGAGAAGATTGGATCAGTTGTACTATTTTTGGAATACTTGAAACCCTTTCTTGGGGGAATACGTGATGCCCCCCAGCCTCACCCAGACTCTACCTGCAGCCGCCCCCAGGTAAGTTGGGTTTGAGACCCCTGGTGTAGCTGTTTGAAATTTGTGATAGAATGGGGCACGGACATACTTACGTAAGTCCACACGTGTGATCCAAGTTGGCAGTATCTGATTTGATATGTCAATCTCAAATATGTCATATGAATCGGATGAGTCCAGTGTATGAGAAGGCAGGTGGGAAAACTCTTCTCTGAAAGTGCTTGGACACCAGATGGAGGGTTTGTTTCCACTGCAACAACAGACCCAAAAGCAGTCAGGAATCACAATTAGAATCTTTAATGTCATTATGCAAATTCATTCATTCCCATTCAGTGCAAAGAAGCAATTCTAAACTAGCAAAACTATGTACAAACGTAAAAATCAAGAGGTTTATAAAAACAGAGATGTATATAAAAAATAAAGTGACTACTAATAAATAGATATAACACACCAAAAACTGAAACTAGCCGCAAAAAAACCCCCAAAAACATGAGGTATGCAGTTCAGTGTTCATACAATATGTATAAATCTGTATGAACACCGAAGTTCCCTTTCAGCACTGCCATTTAGGTGAAAATATATTCAATATCAGACTAGATCAGAGCAAGCAAACATAAATATTGCAGCCCTGTGAAATGCTTATTCATACAATTCTACAATTTACTTACCAAAGCTGTTAGCTTCATTCATCAGGTGCTCAGACTCCACTGTTCCCAGTTGATTTTCTGCCTCCACCCAGATCTCCAGTGGCATAAAATTGGGGAAAACATTCAGATGCACTTCGGCACTCTTTGCAGATGTAAATGCCTTGGTGATTTCGCCACTGTTGACAAGAGAGTTTAATATTATTTAAGGGAACTCTACAGTACACAATGGTACACAAGTGCAATTCATACAACTTAAACAATTTCATATTCACTTTTCATTATTGTTTTTCCTAATATATGCATACTGTTGAAACGTGAAGTTTACATACACTGTATAAAAAGACACAACCTTTTTTTATTTCCCACTATCTGGCATTACTTGTGACAAAATTTTTCCTGTTTTAGGTCAATTGAGATTACCAAAATAGTTTTGATTTGCTAAACACCAGAATAATGAGAGAGAGAATTTTTTAAAGATTTATTTATGACTTTCACATACGGGGGGAAAATTAGGATTTGACACACTGCCGATTTTGCAAGTTTTCCCAAGTACAAGGAAAGGAGAGGTCTGTCATTTTTATTGTAGGTACACTTTAAAAAAAAAAAAAATCCAGAACATTACATTGTATGATTTTTAAATATTTAATTTGCATTTTATTGCATGAAATGAGTATTTCATACAGTAGAAAAACTGAAATTAATAGTTGGTGCAGAAACCTTTGTTTATGCTGGGCAACATGGAGTTTCAGCTCCTTCCAAAGACTTTCTACTGGGCTCAGGTCTGGAGACTGGCAAGGCCACTCCAGGACCTTGAAATGCTTCTCACGGAGCCACTCCTTAGTTGCCCTGGCTGTGTGTTTTGGGTCATTGTCGTGCTGGAAGACCCAGCCAAGAAGTAATAATGTGTTGTTTTTTTTTGTAAAACAGTAAATTTGAAAATTTGTAGATAATAATAATGATATTTTTGTATTAAAAATATCATATGTGTTAAAGACCTTCTACATACTGGTGTATTAACCTTCACAGAACCATAAAAAAAATGAACAATGCTGTTAATTTACTGCAGCTGTTGCATAAACCTCACACTGGGTGGAGGTCGAATACATTTGTTAAGAACTGTATGTAGTTGACAAAATCCATGACCAAACAAGTTGCCAACAAGTCTGATTGTTGATTGGTTAGTGACATCATCACATGTTTTTCATGCTTACTGGGAATGCTCTGACATGCAGTCATTAGCCTGTACTGGAGTGACGTGTGTCTTTTTGTTCCTTCTACGATTCAAAGCTGCACCGAGTCAACCTTGCCCAATTTTTGATAATGACAAGATTATCTATACAAGCACTTTAAAAAGACAGTTTGATTTTATTCTATGCTAAAATAAATTAAAATCAGAAATGCTGCCAAAATTGAACGTAAATGTGACTGAAAACAAAAGTGACAGTTCTGCAAAAACATGGAAGGGTGTACTCACGTCATGGGCTGTTTGACAAACAATGTGTATTTTATAGGGACTTCTGCTGTATGACGTCCTTCTGCTTCCCATTTACAGCTGATGACTGGAGAGATGTATGTATCCTCCTGAACCGCCTTACACGACAGATTCACAGGCTTCTCTGGACGATCTAACATTGGGACAACAGACAGATGTTTCATCAACTTTTTCTTCTTTTTACAAAACCAAATGTATCAATTTGGATTTTTATCATTTTTTTCTGTATTTTTTACTAATTTTGTAATGGCAGATTCAGCTTGTCATTATTCCTTAGCTACAGAAAGGCAAAACAAAACTGAACTGGACATACAGTGACCACAGCACTGTAACCCTGTGTATACTCCCAACCACAGCAGAGGGGCGATAAAGAAGCAAGTTCGACATAGCCAGACTGTCTTTCTATAAGGTGGCTCAATAAAACCTAAAATCCCAAATCACAATGGTGATTATCAAGCTTCTTGTTGTTAACCCAGGCTTTTTTCCTCATGCTATATTTATATCCCATAAAAGTGGGTGTGTGATCTTACATTAGACAAAAATGGACTGGCCATGTGCCCCCTACTTTAGTCAAGAACAAAACAGGTTCAGTCCGATGGGCTGGAAGTGGGCGGGACCCACAGGCAGCATTTGGCTACTAAGACCAGTTTAGGTGTTTAGGTTAGTGGTCACAGTCCTGTTTCCACGGCAGCAGCGGGAGGGGGGAATATCTGGAGATCAAAATTGCTATCCCGATACCAGCACAGCGACCAATTATTCGGATATTTGGCTATTCGGGTCCAGCCCTACAGGTTAGCTGCCCATAGTAAGTTACCATGGTGATCTAGCCGGGTTAAGAGAGAGCCACCTTCATGACATTAAAAACTGGCTTTAGGCTCAACAAACATGCTAACCCATTTATGTTGCTTCATAGTATGCCCCTCAGTTCAGCTATGCATATCAAATACAGATGGGTAAAGAACAAAAGAAAAAAAAAAAGTTATAGGTTTTAGGTTCCAATGAAAACTTACAGCCTTTCACAAGAAAAATCCCGTGAATAAATTTGCCATAGTTCAGGACAACATGAGGTGACACTCTCTTGCAGAGGCAAAATAACCATTCAGGTTTCTCTGTTGTGATGGGGATAGTGACATTAAGGGCTGTGCTGTTGATCTTGATGTACTGTTCTTTGGACACAGTAGTTTTTGACAGATTCCAGTAGAGATCATCTGCTGTGACTTCAGCTGTGTTGATGATCAAGCATGTAGCCGTGAAGTTAGTCCCAATCTCAAGCACTGGAGACTGTGGAGCTATCACCAAATGGTTGTCATCTTCTAAAGTCCGACAAAACACAAAAAACATGCAATTCAACTGACAGAGTCAAACTCAACCAATAGTATACTCATAAGCACTGTGTTTATGTCAAAAACATGAGTTTTAATGTATTACTGTGGCTGCAAAGCCAGTAAATAACACACAGTTCCTCCCACAGTCTAAGCAATTAATACAACAACAACAACAAGAACATACACTGCTAAGTGTGATGAGATGTGGTATTATTCAGGATTTAATACAACTCTTGCCTGTCATCCTGATGTGGACACAAAATGCAAAACATAAAACTCAGGTGTTCCTCTTTCAGGTCCAGCAATATGACATGTAATTCAGTAAGAATCCAGCATCCAAAATAAATGAACGAAATAAAATAGAATGACTACATACATAAATAAATAAAAATCAGACTATCAAGATGGGCCTTATATTTGTAAAGCTCCCCTTGGCAAAGTAAATCTGTTCAGCCCAACACAGCATTCAGGTCATCATTCTGCTTGCTATGATGTTGAACCGGACACAATAAAAAAAGAAAAAAACTCAGGTGTTAATGACTCCTTAAGGATGTAAGTATCTGGAACTCCCAACTAGTCAGTCAGAACTGATGAAGCCTCTTGGATGAGAGGTGAAACGTCTTCAAGAAACTCAAGCAAGTCCAGTTGCTACCATTAATCTGCTAGAATAACCATGACCTGGATGACTGACAATCTTCACAGACATGTTGCTACACACTTCGGGAAGAACGCCCTTTGACTGGTGCGAGAGTACGAAAGAACTTCCAGAAAACTTGCAGACTACAGGAATCTTCTTCATTTCAACCTGAGATTCGGACAACACAACATCTGAAACTCAGGTGTTAATGGCTCTTCAAGGATATAAGTATCTGGAACTCCCAGCTAGTCAGTCAGAACTGATGAAGCCTCTTGGATGAGAGGTGAAACGTCTTCAAGGAACTCAAGCAAGTCCAATTGCTACAAATAGTCTACCAGAGCATAACACAAAACTTACAATCAAAGCAAAATTAATGTTATTGATTGAATATTTTCTGTACTAAATACCAGTAGAATAATTCATTTTCTGATCTGTGTTCCATCAGCCGCACTAAACGGACTTGACAGCAAATCACAGCCAAACATAAAAACATATTTATGTGATTTCTGCATCACCAACTAAATACACGTCTGGCTCCCATGGCAACACGATACATACAGTGTGTGATACTGTAACTACACGGCTTCATTCAGTGATATTAGCAACGCACAGCTCAGCATGTTTGCAGATAAAACACATTCCCTCAGCTGAGAATCTGTATCACTAACAAAAAAAAAATAGTCAGGAAACAATTTAGTTAAAGGGAGACTCTTCTTCCAGCCGATTTAAATCCAAAACCCAGGTTAGCTCCACAGCATCAGTTACCATGGAGATCTAGTCAAGCAAAAAGAGAACCACTTAAAACTCTGACTTTAAGCTCAACATACCTCGCTAACCCACTAATCTCGTTTTGTAGTTCAGCCTTTTGTCCTACTGTTGATATGACCACAGCAAGGCAACAGATCATTACTTAGGCGAGTATCACACTCGTACACTAAAGAGTACACACTAAAGATGCTCTCACAATGCAACTTCACAAAACACAACAAAATACCACAGCACATAAAAAAATGTAGGAACCACTGCCACTCCATGGCAATATGAATCTAATACTGTGAATAAACAGAAAACAAGCAAACTAAGAAACATATTTGTGATTTTTAAAAACATATCAGCAGTGTTAAAAATACAATGTAAATACAGAAAAGAATACAGTAAAGCACAGCTGCTCTGAGGAGAGCTGCAGTGAGACGGGCACAACAGCACATGTCTCTGACTCAGTCTCATTCATCAGAAAGGGAGTGGCACCTTGTGGCAAAACCAGGTACTACAAGAAAACTATAATCCAACTGTTGGTTATGTGGAATGAATGTGAAAAGGAACAGGAATAAAACCCTTTTCCAGTGTAAAAGGGAAACGCTTTATAACAAAGTTGTTAGCCCTAGTGTTAACCTTGAAATTGTAACAGATAAATAGCATAAATAAGCTACTTCTGCAGCATACAGTTCCTATAAAATAGAGTGGAAAGACAGCATTTTGGTTAAGGCTGTTGAAGATCAGCTCTTATATTGCAGTGGTGTATTTGTCTTGTAGTTTAGAATGCCCTACGCTGTATTTTTCTTTCTTCCAATATTACACATGCAAAAAATATGCTGCTTAGCACAATGTGCCACAGGAATTGTTGTCACAAGTTGGGAAAGTCTGTGAAGATTCTCAGTCATCCAGGTCATGGTTATTCTCCTGGATTAATCATAGCAGCTGGACTTGCTTGAGTTCCTTGAAGACGTTTCACCTCTCATCCAGGAGGCTTCATCAGTTCTAACTGACGAGTTGGGAGTGACCCTAACGAACCCCATTGTGGCAGGGGGAGCACTAACAGCTCACACAACGAGGGGGAGAAGCAACAAACCTCCAATTGAAACCAAAACTCAGCTGTCCTTAAGGATATAAGTATCTGGAACTCCCTTCTAGTCAGTCAGAACTGATGAAGCCTCTTGGATGAGAGGTGAAACGTCTTCAAGGAGCTCAAGCAAGTCCAGTTGTTACGATTAATCCACGAGAACAAGTTGGGAAAGTTTATTTTTGAACAACGTTTGATAATGACCAAGCAACTTGTGCTACAATCCATTCACTATTTTGTTGGTACAGACTGAGTTTTAGCAAAATCCAGAAGCAGCATGCTGAACTTATTCCATCCTGATGGGTCTTCACTGATACACATCAGTGAAATGTTGACATTAACAATACTATTAATGTCACCAGTGCTTTTCCTGCTGTGGCACGTCAAGCTCATAGTGGTCAAGTTGCCCTGCACAGAACTGTAAATGGCATTGTGTCCACATCAGGGCAGCATCACATATGAAATTAAATATGCACACAGCAATACAGGGCCGTTACACAACGTCTGGTCAACTGAAAGAGAAAACACTGGAACACAATCAGGGCTTCTAATGTGAATAGTTGAAATGATACTGACCAGCTCTGGTGGGGAGAAGAGAGACAAGGCAGGCTAGTGATAACAGCTGGAGTCCCCTGGCAGACACCATGATGACGGCTAAACAGAAAACACAACATGTCAGACAAGACAGGAAAGGCAGGCTTTAAAACACTACAACCATACAAATAACAAATAAATAGCTTTTGGAGCGTTTCGTGGTACCTCGTTACTTTTGTTGTTGTTGTTGTGTTTGTTTGTTTTCGAGAGCAACATCAGTGCTAACTTTGCTAAGAAACTTACATGAAAATGTATCATCACGTTAGCAAATAAGGACAAAAAGTTCACTGTACGGTCCAGGTAACAGGGCACAGCAGCGTCGTCAGAACCAGCTACATATTTAGCACGTACAGCTCATCCTGCCCTTCAACGACAGAGTGTTTCCGCAATCACAAGAAAGTGGTTATTACGTACCTCAAATAGCGTCAAATGTAGTTCCGGTATGGTCTTTGCTAGATTACATCTTTTTATGCTAAAACGCAACAACAGTCGAAGCACGTTGAATATTTTTTAGCTACCATTTGTCGCTCGTCTTGTGCCAGCAGTTCCACGGTAGGACCTCCTACTTCCCGTCAGGCCAACCTTCTTGTGTCGCAACACGTTTGCGGAGCGGCACTCCACTTCTACGATCTCGCACCGTAGTGATAAACCGAATCCGTTTGCGTTGGGCTTCAGCCCTGCGACGAGCACTTTAAGGATCTGCTGTGATGCTCAGCGAAGTCACGTTGTTTGGTGATTGGCTGGAGAAACTGTCCGTCAAACACCATGGACCAATAGGAGGCTTCGGATTTTCCTGCGTGCGTTTCTTTACTCTCGTTTTCCGGTATGTCTCCGCCTCTCACGTTCACATAAACACACGGGGTCGCAGAACTTTAGGTCAAGACTACATGTAAAAAAAAAAAACGAGGCCACAAGATGCGCATCAGAATGTGAAGTGTGAATAGCTTTTCATAAACAACACAAGAATGCAGACTGTACAATTATGTACAAGGAAGAAATCACAGAAAAGCTATGTGTTATATACGGAACAGAATAGAATTAGAATAAAACTTTATTGATCCCTTCGGTACAAAACCTCAGGGAAATTGCTAAAATGAAAATAAAAATAAAAGAAATACACGATCAAACATTTCAAACACACACACACAAAACAAACAAACAAAAAAACACCTCAAATAATTAAATACGACAATTTGTCAATATCAATAATAGCCAATTCTCTCATCCGTGGACCCACATCATTTGTACACGGAATGGTATAGTAGGTTTTGTTTATTAAGTCTATTTCTCTGAGTATGTTAGTACTATTTTCAAATATGATCAAAAACAGGGTCAAAACTGTTGCACAGGCTACACAAAAAAAGTGATAGGATGTGTAAAGATAAATCGACCTTCTGTTGTCCTACAGGAGAAAACAATATTTCACTAGGGTAATGGTGGAAAGTAAATTAAAAACAACATCTGTGTAAATGTAAGCAGCTGTTGCACAATATTGCTTTAGTCTAACCATAGATGTCTCACCACTCTCTGGAGCTGCAGCTAATGCAAACAGTACATTTTCATTCATGCTTGAACAGCAGTAGGAACTTTAGTTATTATAAAAACATTACATTTCAGAACTTGGGAGTAAATTAACTTTAGGATAAGGTTGGAATCAGGTTAAGTGTCGAGATTAGTTAGGGCTGGGGTTAAAGTTAAGTTCAGAACAGGAATTAACTCTAATGTTTATTTAAGAAATATGATGGAAGACATTTGTGTTAAGTTCTGTAATACATATTATTGTACATAAGTTCTTTGAAGTAACTTTAATATACATTTTTAGTAGTAGTGTAATGATCCTTTTGAGGCCCTTACAAAAAAAAAAAAAAAAAAAAGCTCTTTAATGTTTTTTATAATTCAGGTTATTTGGTCAACTTTTGTCAACTGCGCCGACATTTTAGGTTTCTGGTAACTAGGTTCCATCTTGGCACTTACATTTTATTACACTGCAAGAAATATTAGCAATGTACTCTAGTGCTTCAGTTCAGTGACTCATGCAGCGTGTGTGTTCTGTATAAAAGAAAAGCAAAAGGGAGAAAAATGGAATTTCTTCACTACACTTAAACGTTTTCTGGTGAAAAATCACACTTTCACATTCAATATGAGAATAAATGTCTGGCTGATGTGTTTGTTTTTTACAGTGGAGAGCAGGAGGGCTTGGCTTCTGCTGAAGATGTGAAAGTAAAAGTAAAAACTCCAGAAAGCTTGAACGGACAGTTTGACAAACAGCGTGGCAAGAGCTTTGTTAAAGCTTTTAATCTTTATATCAGAATCAGCACTCAAGATGCTCCACAGTTTGAATCCCTCTCAGATGCCAGCTGGAGGTTTCTGCTTTGAAAATAGCCACAGGTAAAGAAACTCTGCATTTTCTAGGACATTAAAGACAGGTTAAGAAGACAGAAGGGTTACAGTGACGTGACACAAATGAGTAAGAGTAATGAGTATCTCTGTCACTACATTTGTCTCATGCTTAATCATTATTTCCAGAAATGCAGTGTTGGAGTCCAGTTTGGCAGAGTTCGGCTATAAAACTCCGAATGCCAGAAAGACAGGGACCACAATCGCTGGGATTGTGTACAAGGTGAGGTTCAATTTTCAGTGTTTTCACAACAAGACACATGTTTTCTAGAACACTGTGTTAAATAAATGCTTGTATCTGTGCATGACAATCCACGTACCCAACTTCCTAGTTGGAACACATCACTACAATAAAACCAGGAACAGTTTTGAATTGTTTGGTGATGTGAGTATTTTCTTTCCTGCATTGTAGGATGGAGTGATTCTTGGAGCAGATACAAGAGCTACAGACGACATGGTCGTGGCTGACAAAAACTGCAAGAAGATTCATTACATTGCTCCGAAAATCTAGTAAGTAAAACCAGAGTTTGAAAATCAGTTTTACAGCAGGGCTGTGACCTCACTCAGTGTAAAGAGAGAGCTAGTGTAGCTCTTTATTTAGACTGTTTTGCAGAATGTCTTTTGGTATTAGTAGTGAGTAGAATCTAAGTTTTATTTTGTGTAGTTTGGTTTTATGGTGTATGCCTGTATATTATATATAATATATGAACATTTTAAATTCTCTTCTTTGACTTACTTTCCACTTTATAACTGGTTGTAAATTTTAATTTTGACCAACAAAACTTAATGTGGTCTGTCACATCTGTATTCAAATCTGACACTGTTGGCTCTATGAAGATTAAGCCTAAAAAGTAAAGCCAGTTGATCTCTTGCGACTTTTATTTCTTAACTTTTAACCAGTGTCTTGCAAAGTCTTCAGTTTAACTCCACTGTAGCTGTACTATTTGCTAAGGCTAGTTCATGTAAAGGGCTGCAGGATGGATCGGCGGTTAGCCTCGTTGCCTCACAGCGAGAAGGTCACCGGTTCGTATCCCGGTGAGGACACCTGGGATCTTTCTGCGTGGAGTTTACATGTTCTCCCCGTGCAGCGTAGGTTCTCTCCGGGTTCTCCAGCTTCCTCCCACAGTCCAAAAACATGTTGAGGTTAATTGGTGATTCTAAATTGTCCATAGGTGTGAATGTGTCCAGGGTGTCCCCTGTTTTCACCCTAAATCAGCTGGGATAGACTCCAGCCCCCCGCGACCCTAGTGAGGATAGGGCAGTGTATAGATGATGGATAGTTCATGTAAGGCAAGTTGGTCATTACTTTCGGACTTGATGGTTTGTTCCCAGCTCCCCCTGTGCTTGTCCTTTTGAACAAAAAACAGGTGGTTAATGTGGCGTTGCAATGTGTGCTATGTGCATGTTTTGGGAGTTTTTTTGGTTAAGAAATACTTTTAACACATAAAGCATTGGGAATGTCTTTTAGCAGCTTTAGTTTTTTTTCTTCATGAGCCCAGTGAGACAGTACAGGAAGCACAAAATATTACTGAAAAAGGAGAAAAATGATAATGAACCTTTTATCCATGATCGTGTACTGGTTTCTAAATTTTGTCAACCACAGTGCAAAAACTAACTTTATGCTGCTAAGCCTAAGCTGACTTACTCCAGCTGTGTTTATAAAACCATTCTTTGTTTGACTTGTTAAACTATGTTGTGTAGCTGCTGTGGAGCCGGCGTGGCTGCAGATGCAGAGATCACCACACAGATCATGGCATCCAACGTGGAACTCCACATGCTCAACACTGGGCGACCCCCCCTCGTCAGCATGGTAACCAGACAGCTGAAACAGATGCTATTCAGGTGGGCTTAACAGAGATAATAATTCATCAGATTCAGTGTTTTTTGTTTTTGTTTACATGTGTTTCTGTGTTCACTAACATCCACACATCTTGGAAAATGTATTCCTTATTCTTCTCATTAAAACGAAGCAGGATGTTTGTTATGTCTGTCTGTTTATCAGGTACCAGGGTCATGTGGGTTCATCTCTGATTGTTGGAGGAGTTGATGTGACTGGGCCTCACTTATACAGTGTTTACCCACATGGTTCCTATGACAAATTGCCTTTCCTCACCATGGGTATGTGTTTAAGTGCACACACACATACACACACACACACACACACACACACACACACATGCGTGCAGTTGAAATTTTTAAGCAATATTTTTTGGTTTTGTTTTTTCAGGTTCTGGAGCTGCAGCTGCTGTGTCTGTATTTGAGGACAGGTTCAAACCAAACATGGAGGTGACATTGATTTTCTACTTTCTTTAAGTTTACATTGAAGGAGACATTTCCACTGCAAAGGGAATTACAATGGAGATGTATTTGCAACATATTTTGTGTTAAAATCTTAACAGGAAGTGACAAAAACAAGACATGCATGTCGTTTAAAAACCCAAAAGAACAAAAGGGGATTCTTCTGGGTGCAGAAACTGAACAATGAACCACTAAATACGAGAACACAGGAACATCCATCCATTATCTATACACCACTTAATCCTCACTAGGGTCGTGGAGGGACTGGAGCCTACACAGGAACATTTTTACACTATTAAATGGACTTAGCTTTTGTATTCAGTGATATATAAAGTGGGCTGCAAGTCGGATCAGCAGTTAGCACCGTTGCCTCGTAACAAGAAGGTCGCCGGTTCACGTCCCGGTGAGGACACCCGGCATCTTTCTGCGTGGAGTTTGCATGTTCTCCCCGTGCAACGTGGGTTCTCTCCGGGTTCTCCGGCTTCCTCCCACAGTCCAAAAACATGTTGAGGTTAACTGGTGATTCTAAATTGTCCGTAGGTGTGAATGTGAGTATGCTTGGTTGTCTGTCTCTAAGTGTAGCCCTGTGATAGACTGGTGACCTGTCCAGGGTGTCCCCTGCCTTTCGCCCTGAGTCAGCTGGGATAGACTCCAGTCCCCCCTGTGACCCTAATGAGAATTAAGCGGTGTATAGATAATGGATGGATGGATGTTACATAAAGTCACACCTACAAAAAGTTTGGGTGATTTCTTTGTTTTGGCTTCATTATCTGTATTAGATGACTGGAGAAACACTGTCAAGAGAGGTATCCTGAATTATGTAGCTTAATTGATACAAATTTTTTTTTGGTACACAGTTAATTTGTTGTCATTAGTGTCTTAGCATTGTATTGACCCCATCACAATCTGTGTATAGTTGGCTTTGTTATACATTGATAATGCAGGGAAGTGAACAAAGGAGGAGCTTTGAAAGGACTCAGGAGCCTTTGCCTGAACTGAAAAACCACTGCCTTCCTTGGCAATGTATTGATTGAAAATTAATCTGACTAAAAATCACAGCGTCACTCCTTTTTTCCCCACCCCACAGAAGAGGGACTGCATCTCTGTTTGGTAGTCAGTGACCCGCATCTCAGTCCTGTATTCTTCCTCCTCTTATAATATTCTGTTTGATAAAAATGTCCTTACATTTTTCTCCTTTCCCTCTCTCTCTTTCAGCTGGAGGAGGCAAAGCAACTGGTACGAGATGCCATTGCTGCAGGGATTTTCTGTGACCTGGGTTCAGGAAGCAATGTGGACTTGTGTGTCATCACCGCAACTGAAGTGGTAGACCTACGAGGCTATGACAAGCCCACGGTAAAGGGAAAAAGGTAAGCTATAATGTACATTTGGTTGAGAATAATACCATTCATGTCACATTTGAAAGCAATGCAAATGAATCCTTTTGTCCTCCTTGTGTCTGTTTCTTTCAGAGAGGGGCAGTACAGGTACAAGCCTGGCACCACAGCCGTCCTGACCAAAACTGTGACCCCCATTGCTCTGGATGTGGTCGACCAGTCAGTTCAGGTTATGGACACAGAGTAAAATACAATAAAGTGTTCCCGGTGGAATAAAATATATTCAATATGTAGTTATAACATGAGCACATTAGTGCACTGATTAAAAGAAAATTCTAATAAAATGGTTTGTTGAATTATCAGTGCTTGCAAGTTATTTGGTGACCACAGCTAAGACGACAGCAGTTTCCATTAACTGCATGTCTCCCGGCCACACAAGCTGATCTCTGAGGACTTGGCACCTTAGCACATGCAAGCATTTGTGTGTAACCCACTTGTTGTACGTACATCTGCCAAAGGCTAGGCTATTCAGTTTTAAAATACTCTTAGAGAGTCTCTGTTTTCTTTCCATTCATGTTGAGAGTAGAAGAGGACTCTGAAACTGACACAGCTCAAAATCTCATGGTAGCCAGAGGACGCCAGACATCTGCTTGATGTGAACTGGAACTGGGGCGACTGGGTCCCTTATTTTCCTCTTGTCTTCATATGTAGCCTAATATGTGAGAGTGCAAGAAATGGGAGCACAGTGACTTCTTTTTTAAAGACACCATATACCATGGTGCAATAATGATAGATAGATAGATAGATAGATAGATAGATAGATAGATAGATAGATAGATAGATAGATAGATAGATAAGCAATGGAACTTCATTTGTTGTGATCATCAACAGCCTTTGCTGCTTTTTGTATAGAGTCATACATGTTCTTGGTCAGTGTAAACACATGCAGTAAGTATTAAGTTTTGGCTAACACTGTGGATCCAACCACTATGAGAAATGTATGTGGGCAGCCAAAACAGAGTTCTAGTGTAAGGGAAGTATACCTTCCACGCAGCACCCCCCTTTTAAAACATCATTGATCAACACCATGAACCAATGCAGCATGCAGCTTTACTCAGAATATATATTACATACTCAGTATGATTACTTGTATAATTAATAGAATATTTATAACCTTATAATAAACTTTATTTGTACACCACCTTTCAAAAACAATTTACAAAGAACTTCACAGGCATAAAAACAATAAAATACACTGTGCAATTGAGAAGAACAGACTGATAATATGAATTCACAAGACTATTTATATATCACTGTAATAGAATACATGTTTAGTATGATTACTTACATCATACAGTAGTTGTAATGACATTTTTAATATTTATAAGATTTACATGTACCTTATCATGACTCATTTTTCTAAATTACTGGCGTACTTTAAATTGGCCTTGTGTTCTGAAACTCCCTCTTTCTTTGCCATCATTCCTGAACCTACTGAGCAACAGTATAACATATTCAGTTAATAGTCAACAGACCCACTAAGCCAAAAACACTTAACTCAGATGTTAGTTTGACTTTACTGTTTACAAGTCTCAGTCATGTACTCTAAATCCTTATCAGTAGTAATGCTGTGTAAAGTTTCCCGTATTTTTGTAGTTTGTGCCTAAAACAGATGTCCTAATTTCACCAACTCCACGCCACTACGCGATCACCCACCTCACAGGTACATTTAAATGCCGAACGCCCAGAGCTTCCTGTTGATAAGACGAAATCGTGAAACGGAAATGACGTAGCCACTCATTTTACGGGACGAGCTGGACTCGCTGCAAGCTGATTGGTTGAGCCGGCGGAGAGGCGTCGTTTGAATGTGTGTTTTGTTGCAGCGCTGTGTGGAGGGTGCGTACCGCTGTTCCAACAGGTTTCCATTCCAAGTATTTAATAAATTCTTGAATTCGTGAGTAGTGTTCAACTCCACAGGTACGTCTAAAATCAAGTTGTTAGGGTGGGAGACATTTCAAAGGAGGGGCTCAATATGTCGTAGTAAAAGTAAAATAGCAACTAATAGATAGCATGATATGAAAGCATTTAGCTAGGGAGCTAACGGTAGCCGCTACGTCTAAGTGGAAGCGTTAGTTTTAGAGATGTTGTTCTGTGTAATATGACATTGTGCCTGACTCACACCTATCCTTCATTAGTCAGACTTCTCAGCGCAAATCGTGCATGCAAGTGTTTTTAACTGTTACCGTCGAATTGAATGTAATCCTACCCCTACTGAAACGTAACTCAGCCATTAAGACGTTTGGAATTAAAAATCATTAATAATCTCAATTTGTGGGTGAGATTATATGTGGTATTTTATCATTGTAGAACTGAACAGATCACGTTGCAGCACATTTATCAGTCTAGGAAGTGTTTAAACCGAGACTTTCTTCACACTTCATCACTTTGCTTTGAGTGCTGTTAGAAGCATGTAATCACATTGTACACATTGACACAAGGACTTGTCATCCTGATGGCACTGACATGTTCACTGACACACATATGTAGTTTTGAGAGATGAACTAAGGATTTTGAGCAAGTAACTGCTTTTTGCAGGTAATCCACGGTGTTTTGCTATTTGTATGAATTGTTTTGAGAAATGCACTTACTATTTTACAAATGTCAAGGATTATTCGAGAAATGTACCAAAGCCACTGAGAAAAACTGTGAATGTTAGCAGCTATAGCAGCTCTCTACAGTAGCTCCCAGCTGATGTTAGTGTTTGCAAATCCTAGCTTATCTTTAGCATGAGCCTCAGATAGCTATTTAAATTGGACAGTTGCCAGACACTTTTTTCACAGCTTTAAGTGAAACTATAGGGAGGCCTCATGATGAGCAATCAACAACCATAAGTCCATTTTATTAAAAAGAAGGATCCCACCTGGCCACCTAACTCTGTGGTACAGCAAATACACAACACATTTTCTGACAGTTAAACTGTCCCTCATATTTGCCTTATTGGTTAATATGTTTTTAATCAAATACATTGTTCATTGAAATTATGTGATTAGCAGTGATTAGCTGTTTATCATTATCATCCCTAAATAGCAATACATTTAGGTGAGTTCAGCATAAAACGGCAAAGCTTTTATGAGATCCATTGGGAAGAAATTAAATAGTGATGAATTGGTTATCGATGGTAATGTTCTTTATTCAGGGACGCTACATGTGTAGTGGCCTCTTAGTCACAGGGTAGCCCCACCTTTGTGCATTCTCTGCTTTATCGTCAGTTTTACTCAAAATGGGACCATAATTGCAAAACAAACGCCATGCTGTGTTGAAGGACAGTTAAAATTAGTGATTAAGGCCATAACCGTGTTATGAAAATGTTGACTGACCTAACAAATGAAGTCATACGTAGGATAATTTTCTGATAGCCTTCCATATAATTGACTTAAAGATTTGTTTTTGATTGAGTGAGCATGAAGTAATGTTATCAACTTTTCACAGTTAGACTGCGACTCCAATATTTTTCCTCTTGAGGTCCAGACCCGTGTTTCTGTGTTTTGGAGGCCATGCCTCGGAAAGGCGTAACCCCAAAACGTCGCCCCCCACTGCCAGCCCCAGGGACATCCCGTTCAACACCCGTGTCCCCAAGACGAAGTGGAGTTTCAAGTGAGAGTCACTGAAGTAGCAGGGCTGACATTTACACTAACCACTAAGTTAAAGTCACTGCTTCTGTTAGCTACACCTCTTATATTTATATATTTATTTTTTCTTTATTATATTTCCTCTGGTGTGCACACAAGGGTTGCTAATAATTATCAGATGAAAAACTGATGTGTACGAGGTGTGTCAGAAAAGTTCCAGGGCTGGTGTCACAAAAGATATATTTCAAACTACAAACTATGAGTTTTCCTCATCAGATGATCAACCAGCACGTCTACAAAGAGATCCTGCGCCGTTTGCTTTATTTAGTGTGCGAGAAGACGCAGCGTGATGGCAGGACAAGTCATAGCTGCTTCACCATGACAACGCGCCTGCTCACAATGCCCTGAGCATCCGACAGTTCCTGGCTGAGAAGAACCTCACTCTGCTGGAGCAACCTCCCTACTCACCCCACCTGGCTCTGTGGGATTTTTTTTTTTCCTCTTCCCTCAAGCTCAAGGGGGTCATCAAGGGGACCTGTTTTGAAGACGTGGACGACATCAAGATGGCTGTGATGACGGAGCTGCAGAGGATCCTGGAAGAATCCTTCCAGGAGTGCATGGCGGTGTGGCAGAGAAGGCTGGGAAAGTGTGTTAGACTCCAGGGAGATTACTTCGAAGGGGGAAAACTTGTAGTGTGTAGTTTGGATTTGAAATATATCTTTTGTGACACCAGTCCTGAAACTTTTCTGACACACCTCGTACTTTATATTAAATATATATTTTCTACATTTGGTTAAGCTCCCATTGCCATAATCACATGTCAGGCCAAAACAAGAAAGATAAAGCATGTCTTTGAAAAAGGAGATATTGCCAGAGAAGTCAAATGTTCAAATGTGTTACCCGCCTCATTAATGATTTTATATGTGTCGTGTTAATTGTTGATATTGAACTGCATAAGAAAAATACTGTGAGCATATCTCCCAGCTCTGTTACACAGTAAGACTAATCTTTTCTGTACACAGAACTTTTGCTTCATAGTTAGGTTTACTCTCTATAAACTTACAAATTTTGTCTCACTTGATGAGTATTTTGATTTCAAAATAGTGTTTTGCTTCCAGTGAAGTATATTTTGATTGCAGTGGCAAAGGTTTACCCTGACATAAACTAACTCTCATACTTAATATTTAAATGGGTATGAAGGTGAATTTCCGTGCAGTTACCCCAGTGAGGACAGACCACCTGTCCTGCCACAAACACTCTTATCTGCTTTTTTAGGGAAGCCTCCTGCTTCTCCGAAGAAGAGACGATTTAGACCAGGAACCAAGGCCTTAATGGAGATCCGCAAGTATCAGAAGAGTACCGATCTTCTGCTCAGGAAGGGACCATTCTCTCGCTTGGTGAGTCAGATGACAATAAACTATGAAGACAGTAAAAGCTGTACCTATATCCCTCCATCCTCTTTCAAACGTGCAACTTCTTGCAGAAATCAGTGTTTTCTGTTTTTATGTGTAAATGGAAGCAAGACTCGGGGAGCAAAAGAAAACTGGGGATTTTTTTTCCCCCCTTCTTTGTTTTATCTATTTATCAGTCAACCACCTGACTGACTTTTAACCATGTCAACACAAAAATCTGTCGGTACTGGAGACACCGGATAGTAACAGCATTTGGATTGCTGCCTGTAAGCACAGCTGCATGTCTGCTGTGCTATGCTGTGTTAATAATAGTTTGTGACCTGCATTTACATCTGCTGTTCCTCTCTGTTTTGTTCATCTTTTTCTATTTTATAATTTTTTTTTATAATCCACTAAGATCTTAAAACACTTTTCCATACTCTGTTTCAGGGTAATCTGTGGCTACACCAGCCATTAGTGTAGCCTTATCCACTATAAAAGCAGCTAATTCCCTGATTTATGGAGATGACTAGGTTTCTTGTTCAATTGTTGCAGGTTGTGTCTCTGCAGAGAGAGACGCCTGTCAGTTAGAGCAGAGTGTTAAAGTTAATCTGAATTTAAAAAATGTTCCTCCAGCTTACGATGGCTGCAGGCTAAGAGAGCTAACCTCTTAGCAATAGCCGTAGCCTAGCACCATCGGCAGAATAAGTTCCAGTTGCACCACTTATTACCACCTACAAGTGAATTGTTGGGGTCTTCCTATGTAATATTAGGGATGCTTGTGGAAGACTGTGGTGTTTATTACACCTTTAGTAGTATCTGCTTCCTCACCTTCCAAACACACCTGCAGCAAATTACCAGAGCTTCTCTGCTCTGCAAGTGGACGATAATTGGCCATTAAAAATAACGATACTAATGATGTATAAATACCAAATATCTGCGTCAATAATTGGCTGGGCCGATTCCTAATCGTAAGTTGATTGGTGAGTCTGAATTGATTGTGTAAGTGTATATGGTTGTCTGTCTCTTTGTGTCAGCCTGGGCTGGCAACTTGTCCAGGGTGTCCCTGCCTTCTGGCCTGTGTCAGCTGGGATGGGCTCCAGCCTCCCTGCGACCCACTGCAGGATGAAGTGGCTATAGAAAATTATTGGTTCTAATAAAGCTCTGAAAAAAACATCTGACCAATTCAGAACATGATTCAACTCATCCCATGTTTCTAGGGCCCCCTTTGGTCAGAACACAGTGTCATTTGCAAGTGATTTTTCCTGGGCGTTTGCACTGTAGAGGCTTGATATATTAAAAAGTTAACTTGCAATATACTGATCCTGTAGGGTAAACATGTAATACAGTTTAAATGCAGTTTAAGAATGCATCAAAAGCTTGAAAAAGTATTTCGTAAGAGTGAAGCACTGGCTGATATTAAACATTTTGGTTCTTTGTCTTGGTTCAGGTTCGTGAAGTGTGCCAAAGTTTTTCCAGAGAAGCTCTCCGATGGCAGGTCTACGCTCTTCTGGCCCTGCAGGAGGTAAGCTGCTACTTTTGTCATCAAGCTGACAGGCTGCTGTCCTTAGCACTGCAAATCATTCAATGGACAGTTGTTATTAATGTGTGCCAATACATAAGCATTTCAGCTTACTTATTACTGTTCCTCGGGGTTATGCTTATAGATTCTTCTGATGGCATTTTCGGCACATAACTCATTTTGCATCTTTGGTAAAACCCATACAAACTATATATTGGAGAACGTTTGGCCTGATTGGCAATGGTGTACAATGACTTTTGGTAACAGTTCTTCATACGGTTGTTACAAAAACTGAGTGAAAAATCCCCATTGAACTGAACTGAAGAACTACCAAAACTCAGCCATCTTTATAACCCTGTAGTTCTGGCGTATTTTACAGTGGAAACTTTATTCAGATTTTAAACAGATCACAAGACTTTGAATGTTATTCTTCAAATTCTGTGTTAGTGGCAGTTTAAGTGTAATTCATTTTTGTAAAATTCAGATTTTCACAACTCCCCGTCACTATTGAGAGAAACACAAAGCAGCATGCTTTGCTTAGCTCCACCCAGTACAACTATGATTGGTTTAAAGCCACACTCCATGGCTTTTGTATTTAGTTTGTGTACTTCGTTTGATAAAATGTACTCACCTTAAAATGCATACATTGCAAACATTTAACTAGCTAACTTTTAACTCAAACTTACCCAGCTGACTACTATGTAAGCTAATGCTAACATACTGTTATTTGATACCATCATAACTTGCCACAAACGCACTTGTCAGAATTTAAAATGGCAAAAAATGTAGTTATGATCTGGATCTTTTTCCTGCATTGGCAACTGTAAAAAAGAAGAAGGCATATTTATAAGCATAATTGACTGACCATGTTAGTGTCCCACAAGACGTGGGCATACTGAGCCACACTCTTCCACTCACTCTCGCTGAAAGATTTGAGGTGTGTTTGATGTGCCAATCTGCATTGTGTCAGCAGTAAGCCCAATGTCTGACAGTCGACAGTTTGTGGCCAAGCCATAGCCTGTGTTCAAGTTGGAAAAGAGTGAGATGTACCAAATCTGGGTGATTGTATTTGTATTTCATTAAACTGTACCTATTGATCTACCTCGTTGTACTCTCAGGCAGCAGAGGCATTTCTCGTCATGATGTTTTCAGATGCCAACCTGTGTGCCATCCATGCCAAGCGTGTCACCTTGTTTCCCCGGGACATTCAGCTGGCTCGGAGGATCCGAGGGGTGGATAACCTGTAAAAAGAAAGAAGAAGAACAAGAAAAGAAATACAATAATCATTGGCCAATAGGAATGACATTCTTTGGATTTTGGCCACTTTTAACTGTGTGACTTTAAAAGACACTGCAGAGAAAGGAACCTGAAAAAGAATCCTCGCCAAGCAGCTGTATGTTTATAAACTGTTGAATGATTTTACTATACAGAGTAGATCTGCTGTTTAGTGTGATAACTGCTCATTTTTAGGGTTCAGTGTTACTGATGTGTATATACTGTTTCTCATTGAAGTAAACCTATTGTGTTGATAAATGTTAATATTTTCTCTTTGTAATCTTTACCTTATGTCTTATTTTAGTTTGGACAAAATGTGTACTTATTATAAAGTGAATGCCAAAAGCCCAAAGTGGTGTCTTTTCAAATGGTTTTTTAATTTTGTGTTTGACAGTTAAGTTGCCAACTCAGTGTTTAATAAATGAAGAGCAGGCACCATTGTTGTCAGTCATTTGCCTTATGAAACTTATTTGAGAATGTTTTTTTTCATCCATGAGTTAGGGCCCAATATTCTCAATAAAAATTGTGTGTGTGTATGTGTGTGTGTGCATACTTGCTTGAGTGTTAAGTCCAACTATAGTTATCTAAATTAGACATAACACTTTGCCAGTGAACTCACCATTGGCACACACATAAAACATAATTTGTATTTATAGAGCACATTTCAAAATCCAAATTATGAAATGCTTCAGAAGGCAACGAAATAAAAAAGACAAGTCATAAAACTTGAAGGGCTAAAATATATTTTTAAAGAATCAAAAGAAAAAAAGCTACAATAAAATCAGAAAAAAGCTTTCTGATAGGCTTTTACATCATCAGTCAAGTCCTGACTTGGACTCGGCTAATCTAAAACCTTAATTTTGTTCTTTTTGAGCCATTCAGAAATGAACTTGCTTTTGTGCTTTGGGTCATTGTCATACTGCAGAACCTATTTGAGCTTGTGGTCATGAACTGATGGGCGGATATTCTCCAGGAGGATTTTCTGATAGAGAGCAGAATTCATTGCTCCATCAATGGAAGCAAAGCAGCTTCAAACCATTCACGACCACCACCATGTGTCACTGCTGGTATGATGTTGTGAAGTACAGTATATGCTTGACACCAGATGTTACAGGACAAATGTCTCCCAAAAAGTTCCACCTTTGACTCATCAGTCCACAGGATGTTATCCCAACAGTCTTGGGGCTCATCCAGATATTTTCTACAAATGCCAGATGAACCTTTGCTCTTTTTGGTCAGAAGTGGTTTGCACCTTGTAACTCTCCCATTGATGTCATTTCTGCCCAGTGTCTTCCTTATTGTGGAATCATGTACACTGACCTTAACTGAGGCCAGTGAGGCCTGCAGTTCTGTTGATGTTCCTCTGGGTTCTTTTGTGGCCTCCTGGATGAGATGTTGATGTGCTCTTCTCTTGGAGAAGTTGTAGTTGGCCAGACACTCCTGGGAAGGTTCACCACTGCTCCATGTTTCCTCTGTTTGTGGATAATGTCTCTCACTGTGGTTCTCTGGAATCCCAGAACCTGAGCAATGGCTTTACAGCCCATTCCAGACTGATAAATGTCAATGACTTTGTTTAGCATCTGTTCTGTAGAACGTGCTGTCAAGTGCTGCTCTTTGAGACCATTTAGCTACTTCACAATACCAGACAGGTTCTATTTAAGTGATGTTTAGATTCAACAAGCCATTATACAGTGAGCTACTGCTACTTTTACTTATGGAATCGATCTTGATACTTCTTTCTGAACCCTAAACTTTACAATCCAACTGCACTAACAGGAGGCAGAAAACCACAGAGAAAATACTCTTTAATGCCATTATATTCTTCTGTCACAATATCGCAGTGAAGAAGTAAATGGAGACACACTGAAGGTTCATATGAGCACAAACACAGGTCAGTTTTCATGATGACACATGCTCATTGGCTGGAGCTTCAGTACCATGGACAGCGGCAAGATCAGGACCATGGATGAGCATCACTCCTCTGAAGGATGATGACAGGACCACTGCTCTCCCTGTCTAAGGTATAGGGGCCAGCTGGAAGAATAAGCAGCATCTACACCAGCTTTGATCACTAAAAGTTCAGCTGCTGCAGTATAACACAGACTCAACAGGTAGGACAGTCAGTGAGGGACACACACTTACTGACTTAGACTCCCTCCAGTCTGACTCATTTTATAATCTGCCTCAAGTTTATATTCTGTTAATTGCCAGTGGAAAAGGGACAAGTTGGTCCTTCTCTGGTCTGTTTTCCAGCATGGAGTACAGACCTGATGTGGGTTTAGAAGATCTGTGTCCGGTCTGTGGGGATAAAGTCTCCGGGTACCACTACGGGCTGCTCACCTGTGAGAGCTGCAAGGTACATCAGACAGCTGCTGGTTATAGTCTGCTGCTGTCAAAGAGCTGCCTTCTTCACCCTTTCTCTTATTTTTAGGGATTTTTCAAAAGAACCGTTCAAAACAGCAAGAAGTACACGTGTGTGGAAAACCAGCAGTGCAGAATTGATCAGACTCAGAGGAGACGGTGTCCCTTCTGCAGGTTCCAGAAGTGTCTCCGTGTCGGTATGCGGCTGGAAGGTAAGAAGAAGGCTTTTTTACTGTCTGGAAATCCATCTGTAGCTTCTACAAAGTTCATATACCGGTGTGAATAAACTCCTTTAGCCAGGTGTCCAGCTGTAATATCCCGTCATATTAGAGAGAAAACGTTTTCAGTAGCGCCAGTCGATAAAGCGGAATTATTTCTGAAATCCGAAATGTTAGTTCGAAAATGTCTCCAGAAATGATTTGGTTCAGTTGAATACAATAAGAGACGAAATGAGACTTTTTCTCATGTATTTATTAAAACTCTTACAGAAAGTCACTTCCCTTTTTTCAGCCGGTCCCGTTCACAAAACGGCGACAAAAATCATTTTAAAAGAAGAATGCAGAAGGGAAATAAAGAATTAACAAGATTTAAAAAACTAAACAGGC